GAGCACGAATCTGCAATCAGAATTGCAAAATTCCCAGCCGTTCAGTTTTGGTCGTCAAAGGGTTAAAATGCCTCAAATTGTAAATATATGTGTTTCGGCGCCACTTCTATTTTGTGCCGCTGATAAGAATAGGGTGATTTTGTGTTTTAAATATTAAGTGATGGAAACATTTCTGACAATTAGGCTTATATAGAATAACCTATGCATACATTGTAATATTCGGTGAATGCCACTGAAAAAATATTCATACTCATTTAGTGAGTGAGACGCACGCGGATGAGACGAAACAAAGCGAAAGAGAAGAGGGGCAACTCCATACGAACGAACGATATAGCGCGCATACATTTCGTCACTCCGTCGTTAGAATACGGACACAAATACAAACACGTAGTACCCATTGACTCTATGTTCTAGTTGCGCGCTTCCCTTTCGCTTTGCTTCATCTCATCCGCATGCGTCTCACTCACTAAATGAGTGACCATGCGTCTCACGCACTAAATAAGTATGAATATTTTTTCAGTGGCATTCACCGAAATCCATCCACTCAATATCCATTGAACATCCATTGAATATCCATTGAAGATCCATCCAACATCCATTGTCCATCCATCCATCCTTTCGTCCATCCATCCAATAATCCATCCATTAATGTCAATGACGCATTACAAAGTGACTTTGACAGCGAATGTCAATGTATCAGTATCTCATTTATAGTGTAAAAGTGACAGGGAAATATTTCTGGTCCCAGTTGCGTTGTTCTTTCACACACACTGTTTATTGCAAAATAAATATTTTTTTTTTGAAATTAAACTCTCATGAAAACCATCTCGCCATTGTGCATGACCAAGGCTTCGTGATTTCAAACCTTAGTACGCAGTATATTTAAGGCTCGGTATAATATAACCGCATATCGCACACACACAGCTGCCGCATACACTTCTCTCGCGCGCAAACGGTTGCGTACACAGCCATCGCAACCAATTCAGAAACAAAACTTTGCTGTGAACGCAACCGTTTGCGCACGAGAGTAGTGTGTGCGGCAGCTGTGTGTGCGCGATATGCTGTTATATTATACCGAGCCTTAAATATACTGCGTGCTAAGGTATGCCATCTTGAAGCCTTGTGCATGACAATTCAATGTTTCATGTGAAGGGAAGTATTTTTAAATTCTATTTAGATAAGAAATTGCAACCTGTTTCAATTTGTTTTAACTCAAATATACGGAATTGTCAATTCTGAAGTCATCTTGTGGTGAAAATAATTCTTACCGATCAATTCAGATACAAAAATGACAATTTTATTCATCAGTGTATAATATGTCTAATTCGTGTACAAAATGACCAAAAAGTGTACAAAATGTCAAATCGTTCAAAGGGGATTTTCCCGAAATAATGTCAACAAAGAGACAAAAGAATGATTTGGCATTTATTATTTTGTATTGGTGTTTTTTTAAAGATAATATTCGGCTTTTTCAAAAACAAAGTTACAACACTTGAAATTCGGTCGTGCCGTGTTTTAAACTTGATGATGACAATTTTCTTCACTCTTATGTGTGTCTAAAGGTGTCAACGGACAAGCACCTTGTCCGTTCGTCCGTTGTGAAGTTAAAATTTGATACTTCGGATTACAACAAAAAAAAAGGAACGAAAATAATGTGAAAACACAATCCAAAATACGTTTGAAAAATGAACAGAAAAAAAACCGGAGATTTCTATAACTGAGGCATATTTAATTTTCTTTCTTAATCATAGACAGATCTCACTTAAATATAACGCGTTTGTGCACATAAACTAAATTACTTTGGCCATTTTCTTTACTAGCGATTTAGACAAAAAAAAAACAAATGATTTCTAACGAAGTCTTTTCGATTGAGCGTTGATTGGCTAGGATGCAGTTTGGTGTGTCCGATTCGTCGTTTTCGTTCGATGTCGTCGGGCTCCACTTCAATTGCGTCTTTTTTTTCCGTTTTGCTTTCAGCCGTCCCAAAAAGAGCCGCTGTTTGTGAAAAATGAAATCGAGACAATTCGCGAAATTACAATTAAGGCTAACACTCTCAAAACACTTTTCGTCTTTTTTCTTACACTGTCGATCGGCTCTTTTGATACAAGTCGTCGCTGGTGCGCAGTCCGTCTTTCGTACGTCTTGTTTGTTCGCTCGTTCAATTGGAAAAGAACGAGTTTGACGTTGCGCTTGCCAATCGTGTTTATCGGTAGTGTTATTGAGAGGTTGGTAAGCCTGTATGCGAATTCTGACTTGAATATGTTTGACATGAATTCGCCGTGTTTTCGATTAAACTCTACTACATTTTACGTACAATTTGCTTCTTATTACTATTCTTTTTCTTGATATAAATTAAATTCGCAACACCGTCCGTCCGTTTGTTCAGGGCTCTTGAAAATTTTCTCGCTGAACGGACGGACGGACGGGCAAAAAAGACGGACAGTCCGTCCGTTTGACACCTTTATGTGTGTTTAAGAATTGGAATGATTTTTGGGCTTCCAAACATTCAGGATGGGAATAGAAAATTTTACCCCCTCTTTGGCGGTCGATTTTTATTTTTTTTTTCGATTTGCCACCAAAAATGGTCAAATTTTAGCAAAGGTCTGTTTTGTCACAAAGATCAAATTTTGCAAATTTTCTGATTTTTGGACTGCTATTAGACTGCTTCAAAGAAAAAAAGTTGTCCCTCATTTTAAAAGTCCGGCCAGTTCCGAAAAATATACCTCAAAAAAATAGGTTTTGTCCAAAAAAACGACATGGGTACAATAGAAATTGGTGAAGCAAGCCCCATATCAAAATTTTGATGACAGAGTTTTCGGAAGCCAATTCATATCGCAACATTTCGACTTAAATCATTTTTCCAGCCAATTTTCGGCAAAAACTAATGATAGGGTTTTGTCTGGCTCGTCAATATCTACAACTTTTACCAAGACATTAGCCCTTGAAAAGGCATTCTGGGCCAGTTACAGTGTGAAATGAACAAAAAAATGACAATTTTTCGGCATTTCTTGCATTTTTCGCTCTACTGGTCACCCAGGCGGTAGACTTTTGTTCAGTTTTTGACTTGTGTCGTGTAGCTAGAACCTGTACAAACATTTTGGTACTTGTCAGATTGCAATTTGGATGTAATTTGGTGTCAATTGATTCAGACATAAATGACAAATTTCTGGCCAAAATGAGCAAATCACGACTACGAGCTTCGATTTGACAAATAAAAGCAAGCGATTTCTACCTGTTCTGCCTTTGAACATCTAGTATGATCTCTTACGAACATTTTAAGTACTAACACGACCAAATCGAGTGATGTTTTCACATATTTCTGGCCTCATATTCGATTTCATTCTAAAAAAATCGACTTTTGTCCAAAAAATCCTTAAATATAGGCTTTTCAGGGATAGTGCCTGGTGCAATGTTATTTTTTCTCGAAAATATGGGGAGTCTGCCCAGACAAAAACACTCAAAATTGACTTTTTAAGGTACTTCCCGAACAAAATATACGTTTTTCATGGATTTTACTATGAAAATATAAATTTTTGTTTGGGAGGTTCCCCGAAAATACACTTTTTGGATGAGTTTCTTAGTGAAGAGTTATTTTTTTCAAGAAATATTGGGAATTCACCCATACAGAAGCTCTTATGAATGATGTTCGGGGTACCTCCCAAACAAAAATTGATATTTTCATAGTGAAATCCATGAAAAACGTATATTTTGTTCGGGAGGTACCTTAAAAAGTCAATTTTGAGTGTTTTTGTCTGGGTAGACTCCCCATATTTTCGAGAAAAAATAACATTGCACCAAGGCACTATCCCTGAAAAGCCTATATTTAGGGATTTTTTGGACAAAAAACGATTTTTTTAGAATGAAATCGAATATGAGGCCAGAAATATGTGAAAACATCACTCGATTTGGTCGTGTTAGTACTTAAAATGTTCGTAAGAGATCATACTAGATGTTCAAAGGCAGAACAGGTAGAAATCGCTTGCTTTTATTTGTCAAATCGAAGCTCGTAGTCGTGATTTGCTCATTTTGGCCAGAAATTTGTCATTTATGTCTGAATCAATTGACACCAAATTACATCCAAATTGCAATCTGACAAGTACCAAAATGTTTGTACAGGTTCTAGCTACACGACACAAGTCAAAAACTGAACAAAAGTCTACCGCCTGGGTGACCAGTAGAGCGAAAATTGTAAAATATGCCGAAAAATTGCCATTTTTTTGGTCATTTCACACTGTAACTGGCCCAGAATGCCTTTTCAAGGGCTAATGTCTTGGTAAAAGTTGTAGATATTGACGAGCCAGACAAAACCCTATCATTAGTTTTTGCCGAAAATCGGCTGGAAAAATGATTTAAGTCGAAATGTTGCGATATGAATTGGCTTCCGAAAACTCTGTCATCAAAATTTTGATATGGGGCTTGCTTCCCAATTTCTATGGTACCCATGTCGTTTTTTTGGACAAAACCTATTTTTTGAGGTATATTTTTCGAAACTGGCCGGACTTTTCAGATGGGGGATAACTTCTTTTTTTGAAGCAGTCTATTGTACATCGAAATGTCAAAGTTGTCAAGAATTCAACCAAGTTCGTCGTTCTTTGTAGGAAAACCGGTATTCAAGTGTTCCGAAAAAATGGTAGTTATCGAAGACAAAAACATCGTAAGTGGCCATTTTCGACCATTTTTCTAACATCACTGATAAAAAATTTGAATTTTTTTTTTTTCCACTGAATCCATCAACTTATCAAAACGAAATATAAGGTTTATCTGGGCTCGCCAGCAACTTAAATCTGACTTTCATGTGTTGAACCGAACATTTTTTCGTTACTACATTATAATGTGTGGTTTTCCACCCGAGACAACACACTCTGACTCCAATTTCAAAGAATTAACATAGTTGAGAATCATAACTGTCAACTTGAGATTCATAACTGTTGCATCCACAAACCTTCAAATTCTGAGGAAAAACTTCAAATTGAGAGAAATTAAAAGGATGCGTTGCTCAGTTGCTTTCAGTAAATAAACATTTCATTTTATTATAGTTTTTCTTTTATAAAATGCTACATAAATAATCCAATATTGATTTGAATTTCCCAAAAAATGTTCCCAAAAATAATTTTAAATTGTAGCGTAAAACAACTTAACTACATAAATAATTGTCTTTTTTCAAATTGGCCTATAATTAATTGTAGAGTTGGGCAAAAATTGGCCAAAAACCTAATCTTCAAAATTCTTTTTAAAAAATACATTGTCTAAAGTTCAGCGTATTTGTAATCGATTTCAATGACATAACAATAATTAGCACATTTGCTGCTAAATGTGTGATGTTACTATAGCAAGGTGCAATTCACATTCGCACTAATGACATTTCACAAACCAAAATTTATTTCAGAAATGTTCAATTCATTAATGAAGTTGGCTTGCTTGATAAACGGTCATTATGCTGCCAAAAATGACTAAAATATGAAAAATTGGAAAACAACTTGTTTACCTTTTGTTTACACAAATTGTTTACATAAGGTAATTATGGTTGACGTGACTGGAAGCAAATTCATTCGATCACTAACTACTACTGCTATTGCTACTGCTACGGCCTATACTAAAAAAAAATGTGATGCCATATAGTCTCTGATTTTTTGCACCAATGATCTATGTGTCATTGTCTTCATATCCAACATTTAAATAGTCATTTCATAAAAACAGGCAAAGAGAAACAAAAATATATACCATAATATCTAATGAAAAAAAAAGTTTTAAAGTAAATTATAAAACAACAATTAAATAGAATGACATTTGTAAAAAAAAAACAAGTATTTCTTTTGAAGTTGATGTTCGCTGGCCGAAAACTGGCTGCAATTAGATTTTCATGCCGGTGTCAAGATTCAGTGCTTGCTTAAGTACCTCGTATGTAGAAAATGAGACGGCAACCATTGGAATTGCACGCAAGTAATTAATCGACATGCCACGATACAGACCACGAACGATGCCATTCTCATTGTAAATGTGCTTGAGTGTCGAAACCATTCCAACTCTAAAACAACAATTAATAAATAGACAAGAAAAAAAAATGTAGACCGTGATTTTTGTAAGCCTAATGGGGCCTATACTAGGGGGTGGACACCCGTTGGATAAGCTAAATCTTTTTGAATCTTCATAAATCATTACAAATCTCAAATCCCGTGTCTAGCCCCTATACATTTGAAATGTAAATCAAAATTTTACCCAAATCTTGCGGTTTCTGGATCCATCATAGCCAATTGCATTCTTCTTCGCGTCACATCCAAGGGATACGAAAAGGATTGAGCTATTGCACCTGCCAAACCTCCAGCCAAAAGTTTTGCTGGAATACTTAAAACTAGGCCGCCTGTATTTTTGTCGCATTTGTTGCAGGTATATTGAGGTGCGTATTTCATGCAGAAGAATTTCACACTTTCAAAGCAATAAAATGAAAAGCCAGCATAGGGAACCATACCGGTTAATGTGGGCACGAAACCACGATACAATCCACGGATACCACCTTCCTGTATAAACGAAACAGATGAAGAGAAAAAAAACATTATAGTGTGTCCATCATTGCGAAGCCAGAAATCAAAGAATCGTTGTAAAAAAAAATTCTAAATTGGAAGAAAAAAACTTACATTTTTCATAACAGACAGAGCTGTGTGAACGATGCCAGAGTATTTGTGTTCACCGGTAACTTGGAACGCGAGTCTCGCTCTGATTGTATCCAATGGATAGGTCAATGTCACCTGTTAAAATAACGATCAACTTGAGTCAATCACCGAATGGCAAGAAAAAAAAAGAAGAGAATGGTATATTTACGGCTGTAACGCCAGCGCCAGCCCCTGCGATGAATTTGTCCGAGTTTTTGATGAGTCTATTTGTTGGTATCACTGTCCCTACATACTGTCGAAACAATACGAAATGCATTAAAATCAATTAAACGATGACAATGCAATGCTTGCAATTGCATTGGATTGATTTTTCGGCTTACTCTCTTGTAGAACTCAAATGCGGTGAATTGTGTTGCTGCATATGGGAATATTCGCACCATTTGAGCGCTGTTGCCTTTGTAGAGTGCCCATAGTGATTCTTTGCGTACGATATGTCGAAGGCCACTGAACACACCTAAATGTTTGTAGTGATTTGAATGTGCTTGCAACAAGATTTTTATCCGATCCAATGGAGCTACGGCTGTCTTCGAACACATACCAGCTACACCTGTGATTTACAAACAAAGTATATTAGAAAGAAAAAAAACTCAAAGAATCAGTTCGCATGTTGTTTTCAATTCTTGTTCATTATTTTATACGTGTGTACGATATGTTATTATTTCCCTTTTTATTTTCATTACAACAAATTGCAACGTTATCTGTTTTTGTTTTAGTGAATGGACGCCGAGTAACAATGGCAGATTTGAATGCATGTTAAAAGTCAAAGGTTACTTATAAATAGTATTGTCCAGATTAGAGAACCCGAAAAATATGTGCGAGTCACAGCGATGTTAAGCAGATGGATGAACTTTGAAATCCTTTCATTTTTAAATCGTCATCATTTGCATAACTAACTCATCATAAATTCGAATAAATTATTTACATCTCGTCGATATTCTATTCCAAACGTTAAGCGTGTACAATATCGGACATGAAATTGTGTTTGACGCGCCCGATATTATTTATACAGCATATTGATAAAGTAGCCATACACTTCATGTATTCAACACGTATGCTGTGTGTGTGTGTGTGTGTGTGTGTGTGTGTGTGTGTGTGTGTGTGT